TGAATGTAATGACAGGGCCGTGGCCAGACCCTCATGTTCTTCAATCCCACATCTTGTCACTGGGAGGGGAAGGACAAGGGAAAGTTGTCTTCCAAACATAGATCACAGGGAAAATGGATCCTCAGGGCTCTTTCCAATATGGGTCCTCCAGAGGGGGATAAAGCTGGAACTGGGCATGAAGCCCTTCTGCAGTCAGCGCACTCGCAGGGCTTCCCTTAATGGTGCCTCTGTTGGTGTGTGGTCAAGTCAGAGCTCTGGGTGAAGCTCTTCCCACACTGGGGACACTCGTAGGGCCTCTCCCCAGTGTGGATGCACCAGTGGGTGATGAGGGTGGAGTTGTACTTGAAGCCCTTTCCACAGTCAGGGCAGTGGAAAGTGTCTCTCGCCAGTGTTAATCCGCTCATGCAGGAGGAAATTTGAGCTGGTCTGAAACCTCTTCCCACACAGGGAATACTTGTAGGGCCTCTCCCCAGTGTGGATGTGCTTGTGCCTGATGAGTTTGGAGTTGCACTTGAGGCCCTTCCCACACTCAGGGCAGCAGAATGGTCTCTCCTCGGTGTGAATCCGGTGGTGCCTGAGGAGATCGGAGCTGATCTGAAACCTCTTCTGGCACTCGGGACACTCATAGGACCTCTCCCCAGTGTGGATGTGTTGGTGGGTCACAAGGGTGGATCTGCAGCTGCAGCCCTTCCCACACTCCCCACACTCGTAGGCCCATTCCCCCGTGTGGATCATCTGGTGGCAGATCAGGGTGCTGCTCTGCCTGAAGCTCTTCCCACACTCCCAGAATTTGTGGGGCTTCTCCCCATCATGAAGCTGCTGCCTGGCCATCAGCTCTGAGCTCTGGCTGAAGCTCTGTCCACCTTCCTGGCACAGGGTGGGTCTTTCCTCCTCAGAGCACACTGGGCTGGGTTTGGAGCCCCTCCTCCTGCAGGATCTCTGGGGATTTTCCTCCCCATTCGATTCCTGTGCCGTGGAGCCTCTCAAAACAGCCTCTTCTACGAGACTCTGCTGTGGGGATTTGTCCTCCCTGGTCTCCATCCTCAGCTCCTTGAATGGTGGAGGAAGGACAAGGAGAGGATGGGATTTGCATCTGTGCCACAG